TTTCTCAAAAGAAGGTACATAAATGGCCTATAAGTACATGAAAAGATGTTCAACTTCAGCAGTCATGAAAAACAAAAAAACCTGTTGCCATCAAGTCGATTCCCACTCATAGTGACCCTATGGGTCAGAGTAGAATTGTTCCATAGGGTTTCCAAGGAGCGGCTAGTGGATTCAAACTGCGGAACTTCTGGTTAGCAGCTGAGCTCTTAACCACTGTGCCACCAGGGCTCATTAGACATTAGGCAAATACAAATCAAAATCACAATCAGATACCACTTCACACCTACAAGGATGGCTAGTAGCAAAAACAAAAAACCCAAGAACAACAACAAAAAGAAAAGTAACAATTGTGCAGAAACTGGAACCCTTGCCCATTGCTGGTGGATACCCAAACTGGTGTGACCACCGTGGAAAAGTCTGGCAGTTCCTCAAAAAGTTAAACAAAGAACATGACCCAGGAATTTCAGTCCTTGGTATATACCCAAGGGAACTGAAAGCAGGAGCTCAGATAACTTGTACATCAATGTTCACTGCAGCATTACTCACAATTGCCAAAAGATAAAAACAACCCAAGTCTTCATTAACAGATGGACAAATAAAATGTGGTATATTCATACAATGTAATATATCACTCAGCATAAAGAGAAATGAAGTTCTGATACATGCTACTACATGTACGAACCTTGAAGACACTATGCTAAGTGAAATAAACCAGACACAAAGGAGCATATATTGCAGGCTTCCATTTATGTGAAATGCCTTGAATGGGCAAATCTATACATTAATGGTTGCCTAGGTCTTGGGGTGCTAGGGATGATGGGGGATGGCGTGTGACAGCTAATGGGTATGGGGCTCTTTTTGGGGGTGATGAAAATGTTCTAAAATGTATTGTGCTGCGGGTTGCATGACTCTGTGAATATACTAAAAACCAATCAATTGCATACTTCAAATGGGTGAACTGTATCTCAGTCAAGCTATTAACGGAGTCCCTGGGTTGTACAAACAGTTAACCGGGCTGCTAACTGAAAGGTTGGAGTCCAGCCTGAGGCACCTTAGAAGAAAGGCCTGGCAATCTACTTCCGAAAAATCAGCCATTGAAAACCCTACGGAGCACAGTTTACTACGACACACACCAAGTCACCATGAGTCAGAATCAATTTGACGGCAACAGGTTTAAAGCTGTTTTAAAAAGGTTTAAAAAAAATCCTTCCGAAGTGATTCTCAATGCCCAGCTAGAGCTGCAATCACTGGTATGAGGAATAGGGGGGTAGGGGAAATGAGAAAGTAGAAACAGTGAGATGAATTAGATCTTCCTATTCCTTATTTTGTAGTCACATCTTGCAATTTTGCTTTTCAGTGTTTGTTACCTATGTTACTTACACGCGGAAACCCTCCTGGTGCAGTGGTTAAGGGCTAGGGCTGTTAACAGAGGGCTGGCAGTTTGAATCCACCAGGTGCTCCGCGGAAACTCTGAGGCCGTTCTATTCTGTCCTGGAGGGTCACTGTGAGTCGGAATCAACTCGACGGCAATGGGTTTGGTGTTTTGGTTTATTCATTATTTTGTAGTCATACCTTGCAATTTTGGTTTTCAGTATTTGTTACTTATACTAACAAGATTAACAGAAAATAATAAATTCAATCTGAAGTACTTATAATAACTTAATGTATGCACTTGAAGGAAAAGGGAATCAGACTAGCAGCTTTATGTATCAGAGACAGCATACGAAAGGACACACAGTTCAAAGGAGCTGGCAGTCAGAACACCTGGGCTCTAGAGCTGCATCTGCCACTAACTAGCTGGGACACAGAAACTGGTTATATGATCTTCTAATACGAGCATCATCAAATGGTCTTTTAGCCCTAACATACTCAAGAGAATACAGACAGACAGGAAACACACAACTTTGGTTACTTTCATCCCCATAAAAAAGAAACCACTTTTGAGAACAAGGGTAGGTGCTTCCGCCCACTCTTAACAACTTCCACTTCAAACTCTGGAAATCAAACTCACATAACTGGCTGTTGTGCAGTCTCTTCCACATACGGAGCAAAACTGGGAAGCTCAGAGGGTGCAGCTGCTGCGGAAGCTGCACTGCCATGAGGCTGTGATGAAGAAGAAAGCTAAAATCACCATGGTTTTACATTCTGCATACACAGACCACGTCTAAATATTCCAGAGGAGTCAGAAGGGATGCTAAAGTACTCCTCTGCTCTAAATGTGAAGTTCTGATAGGCTGGCAAGCATGCTGGATCTAAGATTCCTTACCCTATATTCCAGGGGCCTGCCTGTGTTCCACGGGCCTGCTTGCAGCTCGTTCTCCTTGGCCCTGGGCACAGGGGGTGCTACCCACGGCTGGACTGCAGGCTTAGACAACTCTGCTCTAGAGGCCGCATCAGCATTTTCATCAAAAACAGTAATTCTGGAATTAATTAGCATCTGTTGAGGAACTGGATTTTGGAGTCCTCTGTTCTGGTTTGAAGCTAGGAGAAAGATATTAAAACTTCATATAAAACCTTTAATTATCTATCAACTTAGATATCAGATAAGTTATATTTATTCTTTCCTGAGTCAAGGGAACCACTTCTACTATCACAGAATCAAAGAGAATTTAAAAAATAATCAGAAAAAACAAAACAAACTCTTAGTGGGTCAATCAGCAACATTTTTTCCCCTTCTGCGTTTGTTAATTACACTCTCTCACTGCCACTCCCTTCCTCTCCCTCCCTCCAATCTTACATTCATAAATTTCTGAAAAAGAAATTCTACGTCTTCCTTCAGTCATCACTCCAACACCGTCCAGTTTATCAGAAACTAACCTAATCTAAATATTCAGTCTTGCTTTAAATTTTCGCTCAATGGAGATGGAAGTCAGCTGAGACATACTGAACCTACAGAACACAAATCAATCCATTCACTAGAGGCGTTCTCTGTTATGGGGCTTCAACACGATCTGGACAAAATATCCTATAGGACTGCACACTCTCTGCCCTAATTCTAGGATCTCCAAGCAACATTCTGGTTTAATAAATTCAGTTCCCAGATAAATTGATACCAGTAAAGGGGTAGGAGACAAGAAACATGCCTGACTGCTACAAATTTAGTTAATAAAAACTTATTGTTGATCAACTTTGGTTGTACCAAGAGAGTTCAATTTCTGGCCCCAAAAGGCTCAAGATGAGATTCTTAACCATGTTAATACCATTCTCTGAGGCTTTGGTGCATGCAAGCTTTCCTCTGACAATACCTGCTATATTAATGCATACCTTCTTTTAACTAACAACTCTTTAACTCAGAAAATCGTTTTTTTTTTTTTTAATTATTTTTTTTATTGTACCTCAGGTGAAGGCTTACAGAACAAATAGTTTCTCATGAAACAGTAGTACACATATTGTTTTATGACACTGGTTAACAACCCCACAACATGTCAACCCTCTAACTTCTCAACCTTTTTTTTTTTGGTGAAAATACACATAGCCAAAGACACACCATTTCAAAAATTTCTACATGCACAGCTCAGTGACATTGACTACGCTCTTCCAATTGTGCTGCTATTCTCACTTAAGATGAAGGCTTACAGAACAAAATAGTTTCTCATTTAACAGTTACTACACATGTTGCCCTATGACAATGGTTAACAATCTCACAACACATCAACAATATCCTTACTCAACCTTGGGTTCCCTACCACCAGCTTTCTTGTCCGCTTCTGCTTTCTGGCCCTTGTCACTGGACTCGTGTGCCTCGTTAGTCTCATTTGGTTTTACGGGGCTGTCCACTCTCAGGCTGAACGGTGAACCTAACTCAGAACATCTTGATACCTCCTAAATATCAGGCTTTTTCTTAATTAAGACAGCATTGTTGGCATGTTTTGGTTTTACTGCACCCTGTGATCCCAGCTCTCCTTTGTTTTGATACCTAGTTCTCAGAAAACTAGGACAGTGTCTACATATGTATTTACGCATTATCTCCTTACCTAACTTGTCTACCACCTGAGACTAAGAATTTCCACAGTGACATTTAACCAGGGCTTCAAACTAGTTCCTTCTGGTTAAACCCCTGTGGTTCCTTCCAGTTCAAGCCCCTGCTGATAATTTGCATTTCTAACAAGTTCCCAGGAACTTACACGTAAGAATCACCTGGGGATCTTATTAAACCGAAGATTCTGATTCAGTATATCTGTAGTAGAAACTTGTTAGAAATGCAATCTCTCAGCAGGGGTTCAAACCAGAACCAACAGGTTCGAAGCCCTGCCTTTAACAAGCTTACCCTTGAGAGCAGCTCCTACACGGCTGATTGGAGCTCTTGCTGTCTTTTTCCCTTTGCTTTTTAGATCAGCCAGTGTGCTTCGTTGTGGTACAGAAGATCCAGAAACTTCTTCCTCCTCTTCTTTCTCAAGTGCCAACAGAGTTTGTCGAGATACTCGAGCTTGGAATTGTCTAAAGTGAGAGAATGGACAATTAACTGTTGGTGAGGTGACTACTCTTAGCTGGATATAAAATTTCTAACTTGTTAAAACAAACACAGATAGATAAGGGAGAAGAGCAGGACCGGGGAATAGGTACAGAAATATCCCTAAAGAAAGTGTTTCTTCTCTCAGGAATAGAGAAAGCCACCTTGAGATCAGAGAAGGTTCTGGCTAGAATGATTTAGCTCCCCTTTTAAATGTCCAAATTTGACTTAATAATCAAAAATACTCTGAGGATCACCATTAGGTTGATTTGAAGATCAGGTTAGGGTGACTAATACTAAGATTATAGAATTGATTCAGATCAGAGTTTTTCCATCAACCTTCCACTGTTAAGACTTTTTAAATTACACAATGAGGATAAAACGGGCCCACTACAGCCTCTCTTTCCCACACTATGTAGAACTAAAAACTCTAGACAAAATATAAAAACCCAGCTGAGGACTCTGAAAAGTAAACAGAAGCAGGTGGACTCTCGAGAGGAGTCAACTTAAAGAGGCAACCCACACAGGGCTGGGCTGGCTTCCTGTTTTTTTTTTTCTCTAGTGGTTTTGAACTGTTGCAATGGTGGCATGGGAAGCTATAACTCCTAGACAAACCTCATTTTTCTGGCCAAAGGACTGGGAAAAGGGGACTCTGAGGGCCAGAGAGTGTGGGAGAAATACTACAGAGAAATGAGCTGGAGAAGGGACTCTCCTAAGTCTAGGCAGAAACTGGCACACGTCCTAGGCTCACTCCTGAGCTATGCAAACCCAGGGCAGACCCAAAGCAGCCCAGAAAAGCTTTGAGAACTGAACTATGAGATAAACCACTGCCCAGGACCCAGACTAAACCCTAATGATGACACATATGGGACAGACCCAACGCAGCTTAGTAAAAGTCTTGAAAACTGAACAGACACTGGGACCTCCACCTACATAAGCTGAGAAAGAACTTGTGAAATCTGAAGGTTAGCTGCCCACTAGGACAAAAACATCAACATTCTCTGAAGAATATCAACAGGACTCAGTCTCATAATATTCTAATGTCCAAGATACAATACAAAATTACTTGACACACAAAGAACCAAGAAAATGTGACCCAATTCTCAAAGAAAAAGACAATCAATAGTTGCCAACCTCAAGGTGACTCAGATGTTGAAATTTTCAGACAGAGATTTTAAAGCAGCTATATAAGTATGCTCTGTGAGGTAAAGATAGATACTTGGAATGAATGGAAAGATAGATGTTCTCAGCAGAAAAACAGGAACCATAAATAAGAATCAAAGGGACGTTTTAGACCTGAAAAATACAATATCTGAAATAAAAAAATTTACTGGATACATTCAGTGTCGGATAGGAGATGGCAGAGGAAAAGAGTAAGTGAACTTGAAGGCAGATCAATAAAAATCGGCCAATCTGAAGAACAAAAAGAAAAAAAAAAAAGATTTAAAATTAAAAAAAACTAACAACAGCTTCAAGGACTCACAGAACAATATCAAAAGGTCTAACATTTTGTGTTACTGGAGTCCTAGAAGGAGAAGAGATAGATGCAGAAAAACATTAAGAAAACAATGGCTGAAAACTTCTCATCTTCTGTGAAAGGTATATATTTACAAATTTAAGCCCAGGAAACCCCAAATAGAACAAAATGTAAAGGAAATCATACTTAGACACATCATAATCAAACTTCTGGACAGCAAAGATAAAAACAAACATTGAATATAGACAAAGAAAACCAACACATCACGTGTTGGTGAAGAACCATTCAAACGAACGCAGATTTCTCATCGGAAACCATGGAGGCCAGAAGACAGCGAAATAACACCTTAGAAGTACTGAAAAGAAAACAACTGTTGACCCAGAATTCTATATCCAGTGAAAATATCCTTCAGGAATGAAGATAAAATGAAAATCTTTTCAGATGAAGAAAAACTAAGAGAACTGGATAGCAGACACCTGTACACAAAGAATGGCAAAAAGGAGTTCTTCAGGCTGAAGGGAAATGATACTAAAGGAGAACTTGGAATTGAGGGAATGAAGGAAGAGCAACAGAAAATCCAAATATAAAAGATTAGCTTTCGAGCGGGGCCAAGATGGCAGAGTAGTCAGATGCTTCCTGTGGTCCCTCTTACAACAAAGACCTGAAAAACAAGTAAATCGATTATATATGACAATCTAGGAACCCTGAACATCAAAGGCAAAGTTGAGGAATTAGACTGAGTGGCAGGGGGAGGGAGACGATTCAGAAGCAGCGAGGAGTTGCCAGACCTGACCCCGTGGGAACCAGTACCGTGCAGGCCGGATCAGCTGGCCAGCGAAGAGAGGCGAACAGTGGTGTTTGGGCGTGTTTTCCACATTGGGAGAGACCGAGCAGCACAGAGTCTACTCAAGCCTCCAGAACCAGTGAAAAGAGGTGCTCAATCAGCAAAAGATAAGTATGAGTCTAACCCACCACATGGATCAAAAAACACCACAACTGGGAAGAACTCTCCTCCATTTACCTGCCTCCTCACTGCTCTGCACCAGGTCCTGGGACGGCTTCAGTGATTGCCGCGCCCCCTGGGCCAGAATTATGACCCATCACATGCCCTAAGCCATTCTTCCAGCCTTGGAGAGGGAACAAATTAACAAACAAAAAAAAATAATCTGCCAGGTCCCCTAAGCCAGGAACTCACAGCAGGCACACCTCCTTTGCCTAGGCACAGGCATAAAGGGTCCACGGACTTTGAATGTCTTTCACCCCTGCATAGACCTGTGTGGGCCCATTTCAACAGCATAGGCCCTTATTAGCACAATACAACAGGGTATATACCTGAAGCCTAACTTCAACTGTATTAGCTATATGGTGGAGTGGCAGGTTCGTGACATTTGACACTGCCCTGCCCATTAAGCAGGGTCCTCACCTACCAATATCAGGGGCCTGAGGACTGGTGGCTCCATCCACGCCACCTAGCCACCTGTGACAGGGGTCCAAGAATAAGTGGTGCCCCCAGTCCTTACAGCCAACAGCACTGAGTGCCCATAATCTGGTTGCAAAACCCACCCACCTACGCACTGAAGGGAACAGGAACACGCTTTCCTCCCAGACACTCAGGGGCAGCCGTCAGCCCCCTGCCTTGCTCAGCGCATGACCCACTACTGCAGCCAGATACCTGTCCCTACTCTAATCACCTCTGCCCATCTAGCATTGTAGGTGAAAGCCTGCACCACACACTTGGTGACCAACTAACTGGACACCTGAGCTGCACTCATACAAAAAAAGTAAATGGACTCCTGGGCTCACATACCTAGTAACAGAGCTAACCACCTGGTGACAGAACATTAGAGCTTCAAAGGCGCCAATAATCAAACTAACTCACAGGAGCAGCCTATTTGGGCATATCAAAACAAAACAAACAAGAAGCTAGGACACAGAGTAAGCAAACATAACATAAATAAACATATTAAGTTATTGACAGCTTGGAGACAACAGTCAATATCAAATCACATAAAGAGGCAAACCATGATGGCTTCAACAAGCTCCCAAAACAAAGAATCAAGAAATCTTCCAGAGGAACAGAATTTCTTGGAATTACCAGAGGTAGAATACAAAAGATTAATATACAGAACTCTTCAAGAGATAAGGAAGGAGATCAGGCAAAACACAGAACAAGCCAAGGAACACAGAGACAAAGCAATAGAGGAACTTAAGAAGTTCAGAGAAGAGCACAATGACAAATTTAACAGGCTGCAAGAATCCAGAGACAGCAAATAGAAATCCAGAAGACTAACAATAAAATCTCAGACAACTCAATGGAAAGTAATCAGAGCAGAATTAAGGCAATGAAAGTCAGAATTAGTGAGAGTGAAGATAAAGTACTTGACACCAACTTATTTGAGGAAAACTCAGATAAAAGGATTTTAAAAAATGAAGAAACCCTAAGAATTATATGGAACTCTATCAAGAGGAATAACCTATGAGTGATTGGAGTACTAGAAATAGGGAGGATAACACAAAACACAGCGAGAATTGTTAAAAGATTCATTGACAGAAAACTTCCCTGATATCGTGAAACATGAGAAGATGTCTATCCAAGATGCTCATTGAACCCCACATAAGGCACATCCCAAAAGAAACTCACCAAGACTTTATAATCAAACTTGCCAAAACCAAAGAGAGAATTTTAAGAGCAGCTAGGGATAAACGAAAAAATTATCTACAAAGGGAGAGTCAATAAGACTAAGCTCGGACTACTCAGCAGAAACCATGCAGGAAAGAAGGCAATGGGATGACATATATAAAGCCTTGATGGAAAAAAAGTGCCAGCCAAGAATTATATATATAGCAAAACTGTCTTTCAAATATTATGGCAAAATCAGGGCATTTCCAGATAAACAGAAGTTTAGGTAATTTGCAAAAACCAAACCAAAATTACAAGGAACACTAAAGGGAGTCCTCCGGTTAGAAAATCAGTAACATCAGACAACAATCCAAGACTAGAACACAGGACAGAGAACCAGATATCAACCCAGAGAGGGAAGTCACAAAAATAAATCAAAGCTAAATCACTGCAAATAGGGGAACAGAGACGTCAATATGTAAAAGATGACGACATTAAAACAAAAAAGAGGGACTAACTAATGTAGTCATAGATCTTTCATATGGAGAAATCAAGGCAATATAAAGAAATAAAAGATGGGTTTAAACTTGGAAAAACAGGGGTAAATATTAAGGTAATCACAAAGGAAACTAATAATCCTACACTTCAAAATAAAAAACAAGAAAAACAAAGACTCAGCAAATACAAAATCAACAACAATGAAAAAGATGAAGAGAAAATACATAAAGAAAAATGACTCAGCACAAAAAATTAAGTGGAACAAAGAAACTATCAACAACACACCAAAAAAGACATGAAAATGACAGCACTAAACTCATACCTATCAATAATTACCCTGAATGTAAATGGACTAAATACAACAATAAAGAGACAGAGAGTGGCAGAATGGA